TATTTTGTATATTTTAAACTTCGGTTTATTAATCATCTGGTTGCCGGGCAACGTGTGTTTTACACATGATTTAGCTCGCTCGGCCACCCCACTGATCTTTTTTTTTTTTTTTTTTTTTTTTTGTTCTTCCCTACCTCACCTTTTAAGTTATACGGGATTTTCCCGGGCCTGAGGGTGAGGGCGGGAAATTTAAAATCCCCTCCGGCACCGGGACGCGAACTCGTACTTTTTAAATCATCTCAAATCTTGTTATCCGGTTACCAGGCAACTCGCGGTGCTGTGCACACGCTTTAGCCCATTCGGCCACCCCGCCCCCACCCCACTGATTACCATTATGTAAAATTAATTAATTTGACGACAAATTTGAACTATTCCCCTCGGTACATGATGTCCCACTTTAACAATGTTAAAATCTGGCCACCTAATCCTAAACGGAGCATCCAAGTCAAATATTAAGTTACAATAAATTATAAAGTATTAAGTTTTCCGGCAAGTGCATATTATTGAAAACCACCAACTTTGTAAAAAATTGAGATATATTTCTTTAAATAACTGCAGTTTTGAAATGAACTTTCTAAGAAGAGAAAATAATGCAATAAAATTAAACTTGTGTTGGAGTTATTTACTAAATTTCATATCGCATTGTGCGGCCCTGAAACCTAATTTAGAGATATCTGTATTTGTTCAAATAATATTTTTTTTTTATACTTCTATATTATATTACATTAAATATTAGATTATTTAAATTGTGTTTAAAAATTAGAAAATAAGAAAACGAACTAACTAAAATTTACCGAGGGAGAAATTATTTACAAAATAGTATGCAAACTGCAACTCGATCAGAGTCTATTTGTATGCTAATTCTATCCAACGGTGATTGGTTTGTGACTAATTGTAAAAAAGATAAATTCAAGCATGTTATAACAGATGACATATCCATTATTGAGTAATTATGATGAGCACAAATTCTCACAAACTCTTGTGTTCGTTTAGAACATAACTATATCCACGTTAAAATCTGATATTACATTCCTGTTCGATGAATATCTGAGAAATTTCATCTAGTTAATTGAATGACACCGGATATTCATATGAAAAACGAATAGATTAAACAGAAAAACAAAATAAATAAATGACGGCAGAATTGGTTTTCAGTTTGATTGTTATAACAAAGTTTCCCAAGAATTATTTAAGGAAACGTAGAGCATTTGAGTGAAAACTGACATTTTTCTTGAAAAAAAAAAAAAAAAAGACTGACATTATAATATGATAAGTTGGTTGGATGTTGCAGTATTTAAAGTGCAAAAAAAAAATATTCTCTATGTAATTCAAAATTGTATTTTGACGTTATGCCGAGTTAGAGAGTTGGAATGGGAAAAAGATAGCGTCAACAAAACAAATGATAACGACTCTTTTGAATATTTTGACAACAGGCTTGGAACCAAAATTCTATTTTCTGGCAAACAAGGAGAAGAAGAGAATCATCCTACAGGTATCCAACCTATTCCAACCTGAGTGGAAAGGTCGAGGTTCATTCCATAGGTCTGTATTAAATTTCAATAGCCTGCGCCACTAGACTCGAGGCTGCTAAATTTTGAATAGAAATTTTCTATTGTGTTATAAACTTATTTAAAATTTATGTAACTTTCCATAGAAATACAAAGCTACCCTAGCTTAGCAAAAGTAGATTTTCTACGCAGATACTGTTAAATTCCTAATATAATCCCTTCTAAAGCTTATGCACCTTAATGTTCTCATCGATTTTCTGATTAAGAACCTCTGACTGAACTTTATGATGGCATCAATTTCTTAGAAGATATTTGGCAAACATCAACAGATATCGAGCTTCTCGGTCTTTTCTCTGTCGATGACGTGAAGGGCTAAAAAGAACCACAAAGTTAGAATCATGAAAGAAAAAAATATTTAAATAAAAATATGGACAGGATTTTGATTGAAATTGTTTGTGGTACAACATCGTTTGTTGATTGTTAGTTAAGACTCCTTTACCTTGTCACAAATGAAAATAAAAACCAGACCAACAGAATATCACTCTATATTTGCCTAATAAACAATCGATGGTCCATTAATGATTCACTTAGCTACACCAAATATTTGTTGTCACCTCCCTCGACAAATATAACTTAGGTTATAAGTTAATGTAAGCTATATAGAACTCAATTAACAAGCATATATTATTTTGTTTTCTAATCAAAACCACTAGGGATTTCTTTTATTGGGTCTCCCCAAAATAGAAAAAATAATTTCTCTTTTCTTTGGACCATATTTGTTTCAATGAGCATTCTGAGCCCATTACTTAAAAATCTGGTGCACACAACACACTTTCACTTACCTCTCTACTTTGAATAGAAATTATTTTCTGGCAATGTTGAACAATTATAAATTTTTTGAAGTAGTTATAGCTCAATGCTTACAGCTAAAAATCATTAAGACAACTAAAAAAACAAAAACTCATTTTATTATCAATGACAGACAATAAAAACCTCGGTACTCCATTTGTATTAATTGTATCCGTTTGATAAAATGAAATTACGAGGAATATTCATTAAATTATTCACTAATTTAATTTTCTAAAAGGTTAAATGACGATTTTTTCGGAATAAACGGACGTTGATATCTAATTTTTTAAAAATAGCATTAGATCTAGAAATGTTAAACTCCAGTATGGAGTTCCGTAGCGATGAGGATAGGGGTGGGAGAGAAAATGCCAAACGTTTGAAAAGTATAGTTCTTGATCTCAAACGAATGAACAGTTCTCCAAACGGATTACTACAGTTGTTTATTTTTTAGTTCACTCGTTTGCCACTAGTCGAGTTGCTGTTTGATCTGTTTTTCGTTTCGTTTTTTCCAAATGAATTTCGTTTTTCTTTTTGCTTTTCCAACGAACCTACCATTTCATCATGAAAATAACCTAACAGGTTTCTTTATAAGACATGTTTCAACTGTTAAGTTTAGAGATATAATTTTTAATGAAGGCTAGAAATAAATAGCTCCCATTATTAATGAAGGCTAGAAATAAATAAAAACTCTCGTTATAGTTACTACATTACTAAATTAACTTGAATATATTTGTAGGCAAAATTAGTTTATGTTTTTAGATGTATATATCTACACTAGCGGATCCAAAATTTAATTTGCTTCAGCCCGAAAGAGTTTTTGTTTTTTCATATATATATAATAATAATTAATTTGAAAAAAAATTAAAGAAACTCACTATCTATATGACTTGTTGCTTAAGTCATTCTTGAAGTCCAATTAAATCTAATTACACAAACAATAATACTTTAAGATATAGTTTTTAATATCTGTTTCTATAAAACATGATCATATTTTACAATTTTGGGGGCGGCGGTCTACAGCCCGAAAGCCCCCCTCGATCCGCCTGTGTCTATCTATATCAGTGTCTAGCCCAAAATAATTTTTATAATTAAACATATTCACATTAATCAATTAAATTGCATAAATAAAATTAAACACTATTATGTTCTTTAAAAATTGAAAAAGGCACGAACAATTGAAATATTGTTTAAACTACAGTTAAAAGACTCATGATGACCAAGCAGCCTAATTTTAAACTTAGAACGTACAAGTAAGTCAAAACATTATTAAAATAAAAAATGTTCTATGTGTAAAAAATAATTTTTAGTTTTAATTAATAAAAAACAAATTTTTAACATTAAACTATTCATGTAACATTACAAATAAATTCAAAGGTTATCAATTTCAAGCTCGATGGCCAAACTACGACAATGGCCAAACTACGAACTAAAACGATTCATTCATTGCCAGACTTGTTATTAAACGAATAGGTATTACTCCATGAATCGTTGCATGGATGGTTGCGTTGTTCTATGAACTATTTGTTTTCAACAGTTCTTAAGAATTGAGAAAACAACAGGTATACTGTTGTTTTTGGTCAACGAACAGTTCATTTAAATTTTTCAAAAGTAGCAGAAACGCCTACCTCTAGATGAGGATCGGATAGTGAACGATCTTTCAAAAGCAGCGGTTCGGTGAACCCTTGTCCTTAAACCCGAAGATCGGGGACAATTATTGCGGGAACGAACAGAAGATTTGAATTGAAGGAGCTCGAAGATGTATGAAGGACGACGGGATTGGATGACTTGATAGAGGAAGGATGCCAGGAAATTTTATTAATTAATTAATTTAATGAGAAAATACCCAACTTCTGAGAATTATTGTAGATAAAAAATTTGTAGGTTACGTTAAGATGAAACCAATCATGAATTTTTAGGCGCAATTAATAATTTGATAAAAAGGGGTCTGCATCACAGACTACATTTTTTTTTTTTTTTTTTTATTAACGAAATTTACAACTGTAATTAATAATAAATACAACAAGTAAATATGAACATGTAATATGACATGTACAACATGAGGAGAAATTACCCATTGGTAGCACTCCAATTATATTTCTATATTAGAAGGTCCCGAGGCCATCTTCTTTTTAGACGCCTCGGAGGGTTATCAGGAATAAAAGAGGAAGCAAGGTTGGAAACGAGAGGGTTCGGATGGTTCAGAAGTTTATTATGAAAGGACAGGTATCTGGATTGAGCTAAATCTGATACATAAGGAGCAATAAGGTCATTATGGATGATTTTATTTGTGACAAACTAGGGAGCATTGAGGATTTTACGAAGGATTTTGGATTGCAGGGATACGTATGCTGGATACGAGAGGAATTTGATGGTTTAGTAGAGCCCCAAAGCTCGATCCCGTAAGTCCAAATATGCCTTATTATAGTAATATATATGAGTCTTTTGTAAATAGTTGGCAGTTTAGAGCGTTTGTCTAGTAAGTGCTGGAGTAGTCGGAAACGTCGGGCGGTTTCTAGTCGTTTCAGTTTGGTATGGGGGTCTGACTACATTAGATTCAAAACACTCGGTACATAAGACTTTTTTAAATCATCATACCCTAAAATGAAAAGATGAATTATTTATCATTCCAGGTGTAGCAAAAAAATGGCTCAATGTTACTGCGATAAAGAGTGTTCAACTTTCGGTGATTGTTGCTTAGATAAAATAAATAAACATAAGAATTGGTCGACCAAGGAAAGTCCATTGGTCTGTACATCACTATCCTTCAATCAGGTATTCTTATCTTACACTATTTTATACATTCCATTATTTTATTTATTTATTATATAATCAACAATTTACACGGTTCCTACAGAGTGTGTTTACTGTTTCTAATTGTGATTTTGGCTGTCGAAAATGTAAGAAAAACTGTGAAAAGACCGTCGAACTTGATGATTACCATTATATCTTGGATATTCCAGTATTCTCCAACCGTTCTGGGCTTTATTATGGCAATATATATTGTGCCCATTGCCACCACCAACTGGACGCAGTTCGTTATCCAAGAGTTACCATTGCTTGTACTTCAAATATCACCATCGAGAAGGTAATTTAAAAAATTTAACAAAAAAAGGTAATTTTTTTTATTATTTCTTAATGATATTTACAACTGTATTAAAGAAATAGATCTAGTAAATTTGAACATATGGATATAATGACATGAAAACACTTGCTGAGTAACTACCCAATGGTAGCACTCTAATGATATCTCTACATTAGGAGATCACGGGACCATCTTCTTTTCAGACCCCTGGGAGGGTTATCAGGAATTGAAGAGGAAGCAAGGATAGAAACGAGAGGGTTGGGATGATTCTGAAATTTATTATGTAAGGATAGGTATCTGGATTGGGCCAGATCTAAAACATTTAGGTCATTATGGATGGTTTTATTTCTAACAAAGTAGGGAGTAAAAGAAAAATCTATTTTTCTTTTGTGAACACGAATAGCGGCTGCTAACTACAGGACCGAATTAAGCGTGTTTTTTTGCAAAATGGTATTTGAGTTTTGAGATCCCTCCGAGGCGTATGAAAAGAAGATGGCCTCGAGATCTCTTATTGTAAATACATTTTGTTTTTAGAGTGCTACCAGTGGGTAGTTTCTCAACAAATCATTTCATGTTATTATTTTCTGTTATCAAATTTACTTAATGTATTTAATTTTTTAATACAGTTGTAAATATCATGAATAAATAAAAAATAAATAAAAATTTTTGAGATGGATTACAGTTATAGAAATCCTCGATCTAACGAGTATCAAGGAAGTTAGAAATCACTCTTTCATTATTTTCCTGTATATGACAAAGAAAGTAATGTTATTTATGATACATATTCCTAAGTAGAAGATGCTTTAATATTTTACACAACGTTTTTTTATTGTATTTATGAAAATACGCGAGACCAAGATTAACCAATAATCTCTAAGTTGGACAGTCCATTAAAATTGTACATGCGGGTTATTGCAATGTGGTTGTTGAATCATTTATTGACTGTTATGGTATTATTAATTATTCAGAACTGTTAATTAATGTTTGGAGTTAATTCTGTTTGATGATTTGGTATAGACGAGTTAAAATGGAGTTTGAGTTGTATAATTGCTACACAACCTGATAATTTTGAAAAATAATCCCGTATGCCAGAACTGGCCAGGCAGAGGGGAAGGGGGAAATAAAATTTTCGAAAAATATGGCATTTCACTTTAAAATTTTTTGTTTTAGAGCGACTCACATTAACTAACAAAAAAGCACGGGGACTATCGTTATAAGTGTAGAATAAATTTCGAAAAACCATGGAGATCTTTGAACAGTACCAAAATTAAAATACGAAATCTTTCATTCTTTGATTGCTATTACAATGATTCACCAAAGTAAACAATGATATATCGCTACTGTAAGTGCAAAAGGTCGTATATATCAATTTTAGATGTTTATTATATTTGTACTAAAGGTGATATTTTGTAGACTTAACCTGCTGTAATAGTTCAGTCAATGAATGATTATAGAAGGAAATGGCGGGGACACATTTTTTGACTTAGTAACATTGTCATGACTAGTAAGGAGGTAAACATACTAACATTTTCCACTGCTATGTGGTGAGCCAAATGTAGGGGGAGGGGGCGCCCAGATATCCACTTTTTCGGGTTTTCGCATATACTGGGAAAATTATATATCGCATCGAGAAAGACATCTATACAAAATTAAGGCTGATAAAATTTACAATATGATTGATAATATACTTTTTTTTGCTATATCGCTTAGTTTCCGAGATATCCGCCCTCACAATAGCTAATTTTGGAAAAAAATATGTTTGCCTCGTGTTTATTGCTGTTTTTCAAGTTTTCGCTTATATCATGAAAACTATCTATCACATCGACAAAGACGTTCTATACAAAATTAAAAATGATAAAATGTGCAATATGATTGTTTAAATTTATATTTTCTCTTAATTTTCGAGATATCCGTCCTCAACTGATGTGGAAAAAAATTGTGCCTATTACCTCATATTTTTTATTGTATTTAATTTGGTAAATCTTGATTGTTTCGTTTTACGATTGAGTCATGGGAATGAAAGTTTTTAATTGTTAAATTTTCTTCAATAATACATTAGTACGTGGTACAGACCCCTTTTTATCGAATTAGTAACATCCACCTGAAAGTTCGTAAATAGATTCATGTCATCGTGACCAATAACTATAGAAAGCCAATGGGTATTTACGAGTTTTTATTGCTTAATTAAATAGACAAAGTTTGCCTCCTCCAGATTGAAAACGCCCTAATTCCAAGATTTTTCGTAAATAAAATAGTTTTAGGTTACGATGAGATGTGACTATTTATGAAGTTTCAGGCGGATTTTAATAATTCCATAAAAAGGGTATCACGAACTGTATATTATTTTACTCGTGTATCTTCAACGATTCAAAATTAGATCAGTTTTAAATTTACATGACGATTCCGAGAATTTGCAGAAAATAATAATTTTTATAATAAACGTTATTGTATGTATATATATGTGTGTGTGTGTATATGTTTATATATATATATATATATATATATATATATATATATATATATATATATATATATATATATATACATAGAGATTTATATGTATAGAGAGTTAGATCAATATAATTGCAACGTATATCATTTTTTTTTGTACTAACAGCAGGAATATGCAAAATTAACAACAGAGTCCAATAAGGATTAAAATGGAGACTATAATGCCTGCAATAAATTAATGCACAAAGACTTTTGTGATGCCCTACTATGAAACATATTAAATCCTCAATTATTCTTCTCAGCTAACCAATATCGGAGTATACCAGCCAGGAAAGCTCCACTGGAAAGTCGGAAAGGGTCATTGTAGTTTATATGTTCATGACGAATCCCAAAAAGGAAGGAAATGTTTACGTTCAATCACAAATTGTAGGATGGATTCCAACGCTGATACCAAAGCAAAGTGCAGATCCTACTCTTATCCAGTCACAGTTGCAGATAAGGTATTAATTACAATCTCTATATATATATATATATATATATATATATATATATATATATATATACATATATAAACGAATGTATGTCTGTCTGTCTGTTCGTTTGTCCTTTGTGAATTACTAAACCATTCATCCGATCGCCATAAAACTGTGGGAAGCATAGTACTTCTGTTTTACGGTAATTTTATATATTTAAAAAAAATAAAAATGTAAATGTTTTCTGTTCAAAGCCGCAAAAAAATGTGTCACTATAAACTGTAGCGCCAAAACGGCTTTACCGATTTTAACGAAACTTGGCTAAAGGCTTCCTATTGAAACCCTTTTAATTTATGTGTATAACATACTTTCCCGAAAACGAGCTGAAAAATATTACCCCCAAAATGGTAAAATGTAACCATGTTTTATGGTAAAAAATATATCTAAAAGTATTAATGCTCGTTTAATTACATTTAATAGGACTTCAAGAATCACTTAAACACCGTTTCATATAGATAGCTAGTATCTTTCTGTTTCTTCAAAGTAATTATCGTTATATATATGAAAAATAAATCTTCCGGGCTGAAGCCCCCTCCTCCAAAAAATTAAATCCTGAATCCACTAGTGTTCCCATTTAATATTATCACTTTTCCATAGACTAATATTACTACGCCCATTATTAGCCCAGACCAACTTGTTATACAATATTATAAATATATATATTATGTTATATCTAATTGTGTTTTTTTTTTTCCACAGTTGTACCGCAATCCACACTGCGCAATGTGCAATGGGGTCAAGATATCAGATCTACAATGTGATCGAGCTAAGAAAACTGAAATATTCGAAAATCAGAAGATCATTCTAGATTTTAAGTGGAAATTCGAAAGATGTAACAACACCCCAGAAATCGTATGGGATAACATTGAGGGTAAATGCATAAGCCTCAATTGTACAAGGGATGATTTCAACGCAAGTCATTGTATCACTACAGATTCTAACGATTTGACCTGCCAGATTATTAAACAGATGAAGATCAGGAAAATAGACTATTATATTTTGCGTACATGTTTATTGGTGTCATTGGCGTGCTTGCTGATGCATATGTTCACGTCATTCTTCATTCCACACCGAAAAAATGTATCGAGCAAACTCCTTGATACTCTCGCACTTAGTTCTGTAGTCAGTCAATTACTCTTTCTGACGGGTATATATCATTCTTTCAAACTGCCACATGGAGTATGCTATTTAATATCTATCTTAATTCAATTCTCCAACATATCTACATTCTTTTGGACAAATTCTCTCTCCTTCGACGTTTTTTATACATTTTCGGATTCGACGTTAAAATACGCCGGAACTAAAAAGTATTCCAAATACGCCCTGTATGCCTGGGGCGGAGCAGCTTTTGCTACTCTGTTATCTGTCGTGGCAGATTTTACAGATTTTCTTCCTAAAAAATATCGCCCGAATTACGCATCGAAAATGAATGTTTGTTGGTTTGGTTCACGCAATGGTGTCATCATATTTTTTTATATTCCAATGACAGCAATAATTTTATGTAATACCTTTTTGTTTGCAATAACCGTTTGTTGGTTTCAAAAACAGCACAGATCCTCGGGCAATATTAAGAAGGGAAGAAAAGACTATAATAGGTTATGTTTGTATTTCAAACTATCTATTGTAATGGGAGCGTCTTGGATTGTGGCTTTATTGAGATTCTTAACACATCATCCAATCTATCGTTACTTGTTCACAGCTTTCAGTGGCCTTCAAGGCACCTTCATATTCATTATGTTTGATTTGAAGAAAGAGGCTAAATTCATTGTCCTGTATTTTCGCAACATGGGCCACAAGCAAAATACTAACCTCATTCAATCGACTATGAATACGTCCACACGAAGATGTAGAAGTTCAGTAATCCGTGCAGTTTAAAAATAAATTTATTTATTGAAGACTAGCTATACCCGGCCACGCGCTGCTGTGGCTTAGCCTGGCAAAATGAAAAAGAAAGAAAATAGAAAGCATACATGAGTAGATTAGTAGCAAAGGACATCTGTCATTTTTAAAAATTTGGGAAACAAATTTGTCTGTAAAATAGCTTCATTCAAACTAATTCTAATGATTTTTTTTTCTCATGATTCAAATTGAACGTTCATAATCATCTGAGTGAATACGTCGTCATTCATAATCATCAGAAACAGTCTGAGTTGAACTAATAAAACTAAATAAAAAACTTAATTTAAAAAACGTATAATAGTATTGACCTACATAAGGAGAATCATATAACTTCTTCAAATGATAATTTCAATTACTTTAGTAATTATAAAATTTTCGATTAATCAATAAAAAAAAAAAAAAAAATGCTTGCCTAGCTTCGGTAGTGAGGAAGCAAAAGAAAATGGCCTTTTCTGAAGAGAAAGCAGTAAATGTTTAAAACTCTATAACTCTGCAACGAACTGTCCCATTTCGATGACTTTTTTTTTTTATTTTGTCAGCAATTCAGCAATCTTTCATATTAATATGGGTATTATCGGTCAAAAATTGTGTTTCGGCCTGTTTTCGGGAAAGTATATTATACACATAAATTAGAAGGGTTTCAAGGGCAAGACTTTAGCCAAGTTTCGTTTAAATCGGTAAAGCCGTTTTGGTGCTACAGTTTATAGCGACACATTTTTTTGCGGCTTTGAACAAAAAACATTTTCATTTTTATTTTTTTTATATATTTGAAATTATCGTAAGACAGAAGTACTATGCCAGAAACCTTCCCAGGAGTGTACGGAACAACTTCCCAAAGTTTCATGGCGATCGGATGAATGGTTTAGTAATGCACTAAGGACAAACAGACAGACATACATTCATTTTTATATATATAGATGACCAGTAATGGCAGGAAAGTACAAATTACTATTAAAGCAAAAAACTTTTTTTTTTAAAAAAATCTTTGTATACATGTTTGATGAAATATCCAAAAGGTTTCTAGAATATTCGTGTACTATAACGTCTAAGACCGTTCTGCCAACCCACCTCTCAGTCAAATTCAACCGAAATTATTCTAAATCTTTTTTTGCTTACTTTTTGCCCTGTAGTTTGATGAGGAATGAAGACAATTTTTCTGTCAAAGATAAAAGTAACCCATTCTTTTAAATCTTACAGTTCCTCATTATTTCTGATGCACCACATATCTGGACGCAAGCCGGACCAAAAATATGCCTCAGAATCTTCTTTTGAAACACATTTATCATGTGTCGGTCTGTAACTTTCAGCGTCTAGATTTCTGCGCCATAGTAGACAACAGGCCTTACAAATGATCTGTTAAGCTTCATCTTGGTAGCTCTAGACGATCTTACTTCAGGTGCAGACACCACAATGTACTTTGCTTTTGTTTCATTTATCTCTATCTTATCTTCATATACGAGAATCTCCATTCAATTATCGCTTTGTATTCTATATGTATTTGAATAAAATGCAAAACTGAGGATTTTAAACCTTAAGTAACATCATTTTTTTATATTTGGGTTTTCTGCAACTTAAGGATTCATATCCCCAACACCCAAAAGCGACTGCTCTCAGTCACGGAACCCTCTGGCTGCCATGCATTCCTCCACGTCTTCTATCCATTTCTTCTTTGGCCTTCCACGCATCCTTCTTTTAGGTGGCATATAGTTATAAATTTTCTTTGGTTCTCATCCATCCGCATTAAGTGGCTATACCACTTTAACCTTTTGGTCCCAATCAGGTGAAGGATGTTCTTTTGACATCCGATCTTGTCTCTAATAGCTGCGTTTGGGATCCGCTCGATTCTGGATATGCCACAGCTTCTTCTCCGGAAATCCATTTCCATGGAAAGCAACTTATTTTCCATCTTTTTTGTCATTGTCCAAACTTCTGATCCGTAGGTGGCTACGCTTTCTACAAAGGAATAGTAATGGTATATCTTCTTTTTAGTTTCCAATCTTATTTCTTTACTCCATAGAGTTGGATTTATGGAACTTATTATTCTTTTTCAATTGTTTATTTTATGTTCGATGTCAACCTCACTACCACCCTTTGAAGATAGTCAGTATCCGAGGTACTTGAACTGCTGGCTGATATTGAGTGTCCAGTCATCAATTTCAAGGGGCAAATTTGGAGAGTTGAAAACTAGGCACTCTGTTTTACTTTTACTGATTTTCAGACCCCATCTGGGGACATCAGACATCTGGGTCTAGACCCACGTGTCTAGCAACTTCCTTATCATATAGTTCACATTATTCGGATCCGATGTGATTATAACTTGATCATCGGCATACTGCAAATTGTAGATGACATCATTCTCGATTTGAACACCCATTCCACCGTACGATCTTTCCCAGTCTTTAAGGGCTTGTTCTATATAAATGTTGAAAATCAGGGATGAAAGGCAGTCCTGTTTCAATCCTTTGTTATTGGGGAAGCTTCTAGACACTCTATCTCCTATTTTCATAGGCCCCGTTATATTTTTACAGAGCTCTTGAATTGCTCCAATGAGGTATCTCTTAATAGATGTGACTTCCAAAGCTTTTCACATTTTCGCTGGAGGTACTGAATCGTAGGCCTTGTGTGAATCTACAAATATCATGTGGAGTTCACGGTCGTGGGCCATCCTCTTTTCTATAAGTTGTGAGAGACTAAAAATGTGATCAGTGCATGATCTTTCAGTTCGAAAACCAGCAAATTCCTCGCTGATCTCTTCCTTTAAGTCATTTTCGATTCTGCTTTTAATTATTTGGCCATATAATAACATAAATAGGAACAAAACAAACAAAAATAGAAATCATAACGTAATCTCTAATGTTAACAAATAGAAAAGATACTAACATGAAATAAAAAAAATAATAAGAGCAAATAATTTATATACACATTTGTAAACATATTTATTTACATTATTTTTGGGAAGCTGGATGGATCGGAAGTGGGGGAGGATTGGAGTGAAGGAGGAAGGGATGAAAGTCCATTGGGATGGAGATCGGATTATATTTAAAAACAATATATTAGCAAAATAAATTGAACTTTAAACAGAAGAAACTATTTCACTATTAAATGATCTCAACATTCCATATTTGTAGAAAGATTTATGTTCCATGATCTAGAAATATTTGTTTCATAAACTGGGGATTAGAGTTAGACTAAATCCTAGAACAATATTGTGTGAAAATTGTGTTAATGCTAATATAATTAATTAATCAACTTTGATTAAAAATTTTAATTGAAATTTATTTACAAATAAAAAAAAGTCTAATTTCCGTTATTTTTATTAATTTGCCCAAATTTCAACCTAAGATTGAGAGCTGAGATTATATCTGATCAAAAATAAAAATAACTTAACTTAACAGACACAGGTAATTTAAGGAACACTATAAAAACTAATCTCATCAGTATTTTGGCAACAATTAAACAATTATACTAATTATTACCGGAAAAATTCAATTACAGGTATTAGACTAGCCAAATTATATCTTGAAAAATTAACATTCAAAACTCATTGTTTTATGTAACAAATTTATTAAAGATGCTAAATTTAAAAATAATACTAATTCACAAATTATAACTGATGTATACATTTGGCTAATTTATAATCAATTTTGGCATTTATAAATTTTATTAGGAAGAATTAATTATGTCTTCATAATATTTTTTTTGTGTTATTCTTTATTAATTTGATTTTTTGTTTATTTTCACCAGTTTTCAAAAATTATTAATTATGAATATTTGTTGATATCTTAATGATTTTTATAATACAAAAGATGTATAAAAATAAAATGTAATAAGCAAAAGACAGATCCAAATAATAATAAATACTATGAGATAGAGATGATACAAGGTAAGGGTATGGATACAAATCTAGTATTGGCTTAGTTATAGTATGGACAAAAAATAAAATAAATTAATAATTTTCATCAATTAGCAGATAAAATAATATAAATAACAAATGGCGTCTCCAAGGATATATATAAGCTCTTATAGTTTTACTATTTATGCAACTTTAAAAACGTTTCGAGCTGTTTGCTAATTCTCAAGTTATCTATAAATAGTTAAAAAAGCATTGTTAATAATAATCATTAATTATCTAATGACAATTAAATGTATGATGCCAATACTACTGCGAAAACTTACCAAAATCTTTCTATTATATTATAATTTATTTCTAGTCTACAAAACTACAAATCATACCATATACCATGTTCCTCCCAATTTGTATAATGCTTGTCAATTCTAAAAAATCACTATGTAAATATAAATAATAAGATAGATTATAAGTGGATATATGTGCGTAGTAATGATAATTATATTGTAGAATATTTCTGAAGATGTGAAATATTGAATATATAAGCTGAAAACATAAGTAATAAAATAATTACTCCAGGAGGAAGATTTAATTTTTTTACATATACCTTCAAGAAACTATATAAAAATAACAATTTGTGTTAACATTCTACAATAATATAAAAAAAAATTATTATTAAATAATAATGCATATTTATAATTTATTTCCAAAGTGAACTAATCATCATTGACATTTTTTCAGGGTACATGAAAAACTAGATTTTCTATTCCAATTGTTATTTCCAAAGCAATATTTTACAAAATAAATAAATTAAGAAATTCTTTACTTATAGCATATATTTCCGAAAATCACTGATGGTTACAATAGTAATTAAACAATTTTAAACTTAAGGCCCTTTTCAGAGAAAAATGAAATTGAAGGTAAGTGTTTGAACAAAAAAAAAGACAATTGTCACATTTCAATAACTTAGAGCACCTTAATAATAATGTGAGTTATGCTAACACTATCAAGTCCAATTTTACAGAAGACTGATTTTTCTGATCAACAATGCAAATATTATATTTATTGAACAAAAACTATTAGAAGCTATATTGTCATTTCCTCTGCATTTGAAGATTATGTAGTTGTAGCATAACAACTGCTTCAATTAATTGGAGTAATAATTTCAAGCAATTGAAATGTCACAAAAAATATCTTTTGAAGCTTTATTATTTTCTAAAAATTTGAAAAATAAATTTCGGATTACAAAGGTATTATAATAAATAATTTTTTTATTACCCGACTAAGTGAAGCTAAATGAGGGTTATGTGTATGAGTCGTCCGCTAAAAGCTATGTAATCTGTTTTTTAGAGAACAGCTGGATCGATTTTTAAGTTTAAGTCTGCTGAGTTTATTGTAACAATTTGAGCTAAAAATACTGAACCTTGATTAAACAAAATGTGTTTAATCAATTTGCAAAAAGCTTTGTAACACTACTTTGTGCGAATGATAGGATCGATTTTTAAGTTTGATGGCTCAAATTATTCAATGATATTCCCTGAGTGTTTTGAAACAATTTGATAAAACAAATTAAGAAATTCTTAACTCATAGCATATATTTCCGAAGATCACTGATGGTTACAATAGTAATTAAAAAATTTGAAACTTAAAGCCTTTTTCAGAGAAAATTGAAATTCAAGGTAAGTGCCGATATTTTAGGTATAAGTGCGATTTTTAGGTTTGATATTTTAAATTATTCGGTGCAGTCCCATGAGTGTTTTGAAACAATTTGAGTTGAAAATAATGATGGAATAAAATGTGTTTAGCTGAGAGTTATTAACAATTTTTATGTTTTACATCTTAAATTTTTCGATGACATCCCATGAGTGTTTTGAAATTAAAAAAAAAATATATGGATATGCCTGATAGGTGTTTATGATCAAGTGTTCAAATAAACACAATAATAATTTTAAACAAAAATTCCACTTTTGTTTATTATTTACAAATAAAAACTATATATATTACATACACATATATATATTTTTTTTTTTACAAATTGTAGATAGTTCAATCTGATATAACAGCAATCATACAATTGTTTTATTGATTAATCAATCTTGTACAATTTTTTCAAATTGTTGCATATTTACAAAAATATAATCAGGAAATAAAATAAAACATTATTTACAAAATTACCATACAGAAAAAAAGATTCATTCAGATTTCTGCTTTATAAAATATATATACACATATTTTTAAATGGTAATTGTGTATAAATAAATTCACGATACTTCATCAGTTCAAGTTGGAATGTGTTTTTTATTTTTATTCTTATTCTTCTTGTTAAGTTGAGATGTTACAGCAGGATGGCTTTCTGTTTTTAAAGTGTTTGCTGGTTCATTTTTAACTTTCTTTTTCTCGGGAAATGGCTTACTAATATTTTCATTGTCAACATTTTTTTGACCTATTTTTTGTTTCTTTTTAGGAGCCTGGATTTCTTCATTGTCTTTCTTATTTTTTCCTTCTAGAGCTAAAGTTCCTTCAACCAAATTATTTGACTTCTTCTTTTTCTTATTTCTTTTGGATTCTTTCTTAGTTTCGGCATTATTGACAGGATTATTAACACTATTTTTATTTACTGGGTTATTTTCAACAGAAGATTTTTTCGTATTACTAATTTCCAATTGTTGTGTGCCTTCAATTGGTTCTGTTTGTGGGATTTTTTTCTTATTCTTCCTTCTCTTCTTTTTTTTATTAATGGTTGACCCAGCATCTTCACTATCATGAGTTCTCTTTAAAGAATCCTTGTTTTGCGGAAATGGACCCTGCTTTTCTTTCCTTTTATTATTTATCTTTACATTGAGCTCTTCTTTTTTTTCATTATTCTCAGATTTTGACTGAGTAATAACTTCACTTTTATTAACACTATTTGTATTTACTGGGTTGTTTTCAACAGGAGATTTTTTCGGATTACTAATTTCCAATTGTTGTGTGCTTTCAATTGTTTCTGTTTGTGGGTTTTTTTTCTTATTCTTCCTTCTCTTCTTTTTTTTATTAATTGTTGACCCAGCATCTTCACCATCATGAGTTCTCTTTAAAGAATCCTTGTTTTGTGGAAATGGACCCTGCTTTTCTTTCCTTTTATTATTTATCTTTACATTGAGCTCTCCTTTTTTTTCATTATTCTCAGATTTTGACTGAGTAATAACTTCACTTTTATTAGCTACAGGATTTTTCTTGATTTTTTCCTGTTTTTTCTCAGCTATTTTGTTGTTAACAATGTTCTTATTTTGATGCTTAATATTTGATGATTTATCACTTTCATCATCATCTGATTCTTGTGATGAATCATTGGCTTCTTCTTCTTGATCCACTTCGTTATCTTAAAAGGAAAAAATACTATGTTAATAAATGATCACAAAGACCAACACATTAAAAATAAGTTTATGTAAAAATTCTAGTTCTGAAATAAATAAAAAAAAAAATTGAAAATTAAGATTTCAATCACATTGAAACTGATTAAAAATAAAATTTCATTTCAAGTCCTGAAAAATACACTTAATCATAAAGTAAACAATAAAGAAATATACAATATCCCGTAAGTAGAGGGACATTTATATAGGAATGATAGCAGAACTCAAGATTTACAAAAAAGATTATATAAATGATGGCCCAATTCCCAAGAGAAAAGAAAGAAATTCAAGATTTGTGATTTTTAATGTGGCACGTTTTTTGTTGAATAGAAAGCAATACATATACAAATATTTACTTTAAATGAAAGTAGTTTGTTATTGTTGAAACCTTCTAAAGAGGGCTTTTAAGTGACTGAACTCAGATAAGTTACATTTAAAAAAAATCATAAATTATTAGCTAATTTTTACTATATAAATGAAGGCTGTATTTTTGACCACATTTATTAAAAGACAAAACCAGTAATAGAATCCTTAACTGTAGCTCAAACCATCCCAAATATCAAATAATTAATACAGCCAAGAACCTAATGAACAAAGCAATAGAACTTACTAACAAACCTTTTATTCTAAAAATAAAAACAGAAATATACGAAATACTTATTGAGAATTTATACCCTGTAAACTTAATCAACAAACTTTGGTACAGTCGATTACATAAAACACTAAACCATAATGCCATAATGGTAATAAAACCAAAAAGCAAGTAACACAAAAAACACCAAAAGAAAACATTTTTTTTTTTAAATTTCTTAATGACATTTACAACTGTATTACATCAAGTAAATTTGGACATAATAGATATAATGACATGAATACACTTGCTAAGTAACTACCCAATGGTAGCACTCTAATGATATGACTACATTAGGAGATCACGGGGCCATCTTCTTTTCAGACGCCTCGGAGGGTTATCAGGAAAGGAGGAAGCAAGGTTAGAAACGAGAGGGTTGGGATGATTCTGAAGTTTATTATGGAAGGATAGGTATCTGGATTGGGCCAGATCTGAAACATAAGGAACATTAAGATCTTTATGGATAATTTTATTAGTGACAAAGTAAGGAGCATTGAGGATTTTACGAAGGATTTTGGATTGTAAGGATTGGATGCGAGAGGAATTCGATGGTTTAGTGGAGCCCCATAGCTCAACTCCGTAAGACCAAATAGGTCTTATTATAGTCAAGTATATGAGTTTTGTGAGTGGTTTCTTGTCGTTTCAGTCTAGTATGAGGATTCCAAGTTAGTCGTTTGTCCAGGTGGAGTCCTAGGTATTGGATTTGCTCAACAGGGATAAGTGGAGTATTGTTAAAGGAAACTGTAGGACAGGAAGACGTTGGTTTACGACGAAGAGTAAAGGTAATTTGGTGGGATTTATTGGAGTTTATTTTAATTCTCCAGTTTTGACACCATTCTTCTAGATTTATGATGTGTGATTGAAGCATTTGCTGGGTCATTGTTTACTGATAGGATACATGTGTCATTGGCATATGTGGTGATGACAGTGTTGGGACAGGTAGGAATGTCAGCTGTATAAACTGTATAGAGGATAGGACGGACCTAGGATACTACCTTGAGGAACACCAGCGGACTGGGAAAAAAGGGATGAATAGGCGTTATTGTGATTTACTTTAAAGTATCTATCAGTAAGGTAGGAACGGATAATGAGGAAGTATGTAGGTGGTAGGAATTTTCCGAGTTTGTACAGCAGCCCCGGGTGCCAAACTCTATCAAACACCCGTTCAACGTCGAGAAAGACTCCCGTACAGTACATTCCGCGCTCCAATGCAGAGGAGACTACGTCTACCACACGATGACATTGCTGTATAGTGGAATGGGAGTTCGGAAACCAAATTGGTGATCTGGGATTATGTGTTTAGAATTTAGGATACGTACAGGCGCTTTAAGATGAGTTTTTCTAGGATTTTGCCCATGATGGGTAAAAGAGAGATAGGACGGTAAGAGGATGGGTATTCTGGTGTTTTTTTGGGTTTGTGGATCATTTTAACAATAGATCGTTTCCAAGGATCAGGAAAATATGTGGAACGGAGTACAGCATTATATATGTAAGTAAGGAATAGGATGGCTTTTCGAGGAAGAAGTTTTAGGATCTGGGATGTAATTAGGTCATGTCCAGGAGCTTTACGGGAGGGTCATTTTTGAATGATGTTAGATATTTCTATGGGATGAAATGCTTTGGGTGGCAGAGACATTTGGAGAGGAATATCCAGTTCTGCTTCAATACAATTGATGTGAGTTGAATTAAGTTATCGGGATGTGGATTAAAAGTTTGGAAGAGATGTTGACCAAATAGTTGGGCTTTTTCTTCGTCGGATTTGGACCAGGTTTGGGAATCAGTATGTTGTGGGTGATTAAAGTCTTGAAACTTGAGAAGTTTTTTGGAGGTCATCCGTAGTGATTTGTCAGTGGTTGTAAGTTTTTCAGTAAAATTTAGTAAATTTTGTATTTTCTAATTTCTGATTTCAGTTTGTTAGTCAGTTGGGTGTAATACGATTTATCTGTTGGGTATCGAGTCCTATGCCACTTCGATCTTGCTCTACGTTTTTCCTTTAATAAGATACGAATATGCTGTGACAAGTTAGTATTTTGTGGGAAGTTAATCTTATTGATAAAGGTGTTATTATTTATACTGTCTGTTATTGATGATGTCAGTTTTTCTATGGCACCATTAATGTCTTCTTTTGTCTTTAGCGGAATTTTGAGATCTAGTTTGTTTTCCAAATCATCACGAAATTTGTAAAAGAAAACATTACAATAAAGAAACCTACACAACCATTCATCACCCATTTTTTTGAAAAAAACAAATTCTACAAAATGACATACATGCCTGAACTTAAAAACAAAATTAAAGACGTGGTTAAAAATTATGGCATAACAAAAATCAAACTTGGGCAATATAATAATAAAAAACTCAGCAGACACATCACCAATACAAAAGATAAAATAGACTTAATAAACAAGAAAAATGTAATTTACAAATTAAATTGTCAAAACTGCCCCAAAATCTACATTGGAGAAACGTCCAAACCAGAATTTCACAACACATTACTAACTGTAAAAACACAAAAAAACAAACACAACAGCTTTAGCACATCACAGCATAAAATTACAATATAAATTCAACTTCAATAAACCACAGATATTAGGCACAGAACCAAAAAATGACTTGAAGGCATACACATCACAAAAAACAATAGAACAAAAGTAAATTATAAAACATACATCAAACATTTAGAGACACATTACGCTGACATATTAAACAAAGTTAAAATTTAATAAAAATGAAATTGCAGCTACACAAAAAATAAACATTTAACAACAATAGTCAAATCCAAAGGTCAATTGTATTCACCATAGCAGACGCCCAATAATTGGTCTAAAGGCATGATGATGCTCTGCACATTAATTTGTTATAGCATGAATTTAGAACCTGACAATGGAGCACATTAGACTTAAGGTAATTACAAATTTAATGTAACAACCCAATTCTGACATGTATTATCTTTAACTCAATTTTTAATCATGATTCAACAAAAAAAATATTGGGATTGTGGTTCTGAAGATGGGAGTAAATATCCCGAAACATTAACATGTAACTTGGAAATACAACAAATAAATGAATTGTTGCTTAATTGGAAGTTATTATTGCCAAAAACAAAGAATATTATGTTAATTATAGCCCTATTAGGATTATAATCTACATAATATTGTTATATAATATTATATAATATTAACAGATGACTAACATCACTATTATATTACGTTAAATGTTTTCTTTTTTTATGAACTAATTGTGTATGGGTCTTATAGATGGCTTGAAAATGACATTAGAGGAGGAGAAATAAAAATAAATGTGGTGAAAAATACAGCCTTCATTTATATAGTCAAATAAAATATTTAGAAATACTTAACTTTGTAATTAACAATTACTTCACTGCAAACTAGACAAAATTTACTTCCAATGAAAATAGAGATTGTCAATTATAAAACCATTGAAAGAGGACTTTTTAGCAGGTAAGTTTTTCCAATAGTCGGGTATCCGTAGTATAGCTGGACGGTGATAAAAAAAAAAAAAATTACAAATAATTCATGATTTTTTAAAAAACAGAACATGGAATAGTTTAGCCACTCTGAATTTCTCTTTAAATGGTCTCAACAGTGACAAACTTCACTTAGTCTAGTTCATTGAGAAGTATTTGTTATTCACTTCAATTAAATGTTTTTTTTTTTTTTAGTAATTGCTTCCTATTCCTATAAAATCGTGACTAACTTAAAAAAAATACAAAATTTTAATTTCCTACTATTCTGCTTTAAATCAGACCAATGTTTATTATTTTTTTTTTTTTTTTAGGTCTTGAGGTCATCTATCACTCTTATAATTATTTTTCTACACTTACATAACACCCTGTATGTACAATAATATATGATTGGAAATAAACAAAATAAAGAGTATATTTTAGTAAGTAAAACTGCAATAAATAAACCTAACCAGAAAATATAATAAATTTAAAGTAATTTTTTTTTTTGGAAGTCCACAATTTAAAAAGTTTAATCATAATTATAATGAAATATAATAATTTTTATAGAAAACAATGAATAGGCTCTGATAACAATATTAAAGTCATAAAAATAAATAAATAAAATGAATTAACATTTACTTTCTTCTTCCGCTTCCTCTTCTTCTTCTTCATCATCATCATCATTTACTTTCAGGACTTTATTAGAACACTTTTTAAGTTTTGCAATAAAGAATCCATCCATGTTGTGAGTGTGAGGATAAATCCTCTTCGTCAAATTCATCGAGGGATGAAACCTGAACAGTAAAATGAATATTAACACAAATAAAAGAAATTAATGATAGGAGGAAAAACTAGGTAACTAATAATGTATATAGTTATAATTGAAGGGAATGTAGGCATACTTTAATGATTTTTTATGTCACAGATTTTGCAAACAAAACGTTATTGAAAGTTCAACTCCGTCAAAAATGCACTGAGTGATTTATTGTAATAAATCGATCATTTATAAAATAAACTATGAATATAAAAAAAAAAAAGAACATATAGTAAAAATAAAACAAGTTTACAATAGCATGAGTGACAACTAATGCCATAAAACAATGATTACAGGCAGTGTAGCAGGTTTAGTGGACATCTCATTAGCCAATGTTTTAAAAACTAAAGTATTTTTTATATGTTGAATCAAATATAAAATTTATTTAATTTATAATCTTTTATTTAAACTTTAGATGTTAAACTTAAATTTTTGAAGCGAAATCTTCTTTAGGCACATTTTTCAGTTTTTTTTGTGGAGAATGTATTAGATTGATCCATCAGATTTCATTCAGGATTAATGCTTGAGCAAAGTCGGGTCATTAAAATGTTTTTATATATTGATTAAAATATCTCAGAAACTATAAATCGGGTCTGCTTATTGCAAGCAAGGAAATTCAGTATTTCATCCTCTCTGTAATAGGCTATAATTTAAAATTGTAACTCACGCAATGCCGTGTTAGGAAAGCGAAAAGGGAAAAATAGGATTGAAAACCAAATGATAACAAGTTTAGTGTCGAACATATTGATTAAAATATTTCAGATACTAAAAATCAACATGTATACTGTAGGGCTATGGAAATGTTTAGCATTTCATCTTCTTTTTAATCAACAAGTACTACTCAAAATTGTGTCTTAACCCAACACCATGTTGGAGAGTAGGAGAGGGAAAAATATAGTGTCCAAAACCAAATGATAACGAGTTTATGCTAATATACAGTATAAATACTAAAATTATTATATATAAAAAAAAATAATATAAATGATAATAGCAGAAATTCTTAGCCATAATGGAAAATATTTAACAACAAGTTGGAAAAATTCACAAAAAACTTTGTTTAGTGAAGAAATAGCAAAACAATATGGAAATAAGTAGTTCCTATGTATTATGTAAGAAAGGAATAAATATTTTTTCCTTAGTCGATTACAATAGACCAAAACATAATTAAACATAACAGACCAAAATATTTATACAAATTGCTTTGCTAGGACCTATTTTTAGACGCTGACTGGGAAGATAGTAAAAGTAATAAAGACAAAATAATGCCATCATAGTATATTCTGAATTTTTGAAAAAAATAAAATGTAAGAACAACCAAATGTCTTTAAGAAATAATGAAGTTAATATAAAAGCCAGGAAAAAAAAATGCAGTAGACTATTCTACTCCAAAATGCAATATATTTAAGCAGGAAAACATTATTAAGTATGTCAAAACTAATGGACTGTATCTTTGTTAATAATTATCTGATTTTTTTTTTTTTTTTGTTTTGTAGGTAATTTAGTAATCTTTCTAATTATCATGGGTACAATCAAGAAAAAAAAATGCATACTTATAGAGTTATTCGTGAATAAATTTTCTTTTCCTTCATAACTTTTTTCCAGAAATTTCAGGGGGATAGGACTATTTTTTGCATGTGAAGGAGAAGAATATTTTCAAAATGAGTGGTCAATCATTGGATTTGATGAAGAATTGAAGAAGTTATGGCATACCGACAAAAAAAAAAACCTTTTAGAAAGGTTTTTGATAGGATATAACATTACATAACCTTACAACAGGAGACTTCCACATAAATATTATGATAAATATTCCATATACAGTCGTTGGATACAACATAAACTAGTAAGTATCACTAATTTAAATAAGTAAATTATTAATCATTAAGGACATTTTTAGATTGATAGGGAAATTGACATCTACGAATATTTAAACTCGGTTTAGTAATCGTGTGCCTTTCATTACACATTATGGCTTCAGGCAAATAGATTTCATCCCATGTATGTGCTTGTAAACATCCAAGTCTTGAGCTTTTTTCGGGGGTAATAGACAACCGACTACTACACCAAGTTTGAATATTCAATTTGGAACGAAAATGAGCAATAACATGAAAATCCAGTCTCAAGTAATCACTATAAAATCGGCATGATACTGACCTGTACTGTCTGAAATGAGTAAAGCCACTTTCACCAAAATCAATTCCAGTTTCAACAAGTTTTACATCTCGTTTTTTAAGAGCATACTGAATTACACATTCATTCTCTTCAGGCTGAAAAAAAAAATAATAATAAAAAACTTCAAAATATACATCACTCTTAGATAGAAACAAATAAATAAAAAAATTTGTATACCTACCAGGACAGAACAAGTAGAGTAAACAAGATATCCACCGGTAGAAGATTTGAAATTTAAACAATCAATCGCAGCCAAAATAAGGTCCTTTTGTAAAGTCATACACCTTTGTATGTCAACCTCGTCTTTGGTAGTTTTAACACTGGGATCTTTAGATATTACACCAGTGCCGGAACAAGGGGCGTCAAGAAGAACTCTGTCGAAGCCAGTCATTACCTAAAATGGAAAATAGAAGGGATGATTAAAAAAATTATTAGGACCTCAGATTTTCAATGTGAAAATTAATGCTTTATTTAAAGTAAGTTGTAAAAAACATGTCACTGAAAGTATTGTCCATCACTAGCCACTACTTTTTCTCATCTTTTTGGCATCACATGAATTTCACATTCCATTTTTTAATATCTCCGTAAGAATGGAAATCTCCTTTTGCCAGGCAATGTGCCATAGAACAAAATAAGTGATAAATCAGAAGGGGCTAAATCTAATAAGTGGGGAGGCCTTTTTAGTCATTCCTCTGCTAGTATAGTGGTTGTTTTCCCTTTTAGGCTTGTCCCAAACGCATCAATTGTAGTGAATAGCAATCTCTCATGATAGTTTCGTTCGGTTTGAGAAGCTCATAATAAATTACACTCTGCTGATCCCACCAAATGCAGAGAAGCATCAGACCATGGATATTTGAAATTGCGGATGATGCTGAAACAATACTGGTCTTACTCTATTACTTTTTAAGCTTAGGATTATAGTACTGTATCTATTTTTCTACTCCAGTCACAATATGATATTAACAAATCTGGTGCGGTGCGTGCTCACACAACTTTCACTTACCACCTTTTTCTTAGCAGAAATAAGCATTTTCAGAGAAAAGGAAGTGAAAGTAAAATTTAGAGACAGTACGAAATATTATTTAAAACAATTAATTACCATATATTTTTTTATAGCTGTCTAATATATTTTATTTGTCACTAACTATTTTCTTTTACAAATGCATATTTTCATTATTTATTTGATTATAATAAATAATTAAGTGCCAAGAAATATATTTAGTCCGACTAGAGTGTCACTGATAAAGAAGGCCGCTATATTTATTTATGTTTCATTGTGTATATTTTTATTTGTTTAAGCAACACATTTTATTTGTTCATATACATATGAAAACGCATATGTATATGTATATATTATCAAATCTCGTATTATATTAAGCATGTTTTTGAATGGAAGCCTATTCTAACCTTCAGCTAAGCTCGGTTGCACGTTCAGATTTTTTTGGTCCCTCTATTACTACTATTCTCAGTTATGATTCATTAATTCTCCTTTAGTTAATAATCAAATTATTTCATATTTTTTATACCAAGTTATAATGTGAAATGGTTAATTAATTAAAATAAATTAAAGGAAGATATTTGGAAAATTAGGCTTTATTTTTTTACATAAATTAGGCCAATTATCACCAACATTTTATTGATATGATATTAAATTCGACATTTCGACCATAAGGGTCATTTTCAAGTCTTCATGAGTCTTCTGTTATATATTCATCATTAATGACGCAAATAATTTGTTCAGTGAACATTAAATTGTCATGCTCTATAGGGGTTTCGCCTACGTCGTCATTTCTGGAGGGACTGATGAGGCATGTAAGCCCTGTTAGAGAACAAAAAGAATAAGATCTGCTTAATTTTACACCGATGTAATGAATTTAACTGAAATCGTTAAGAGCCGTTTTCGAGGACATTGTAAAAATGTGTTAAATGGATGATATAATTGCCACTTCCAATAAGCCGATTTTATGAAAAAGTTGTTGTCACATCCTAGGTATATAAAAACCTTAAATATACAATTTCATGGTTGTATGACTTTTCATTTTTGATTTAGACTGTTAAAAAACGCATACACACACAGAACGTTTTGTGAGACTAGGTTATTTGGACTCAGCGGACTTCAAAAACGTGTATTTCCATTCAAAACTTTCTAAGATTCAATAATTTTCAAGACCGTAATACTTTTCCTTACTAAATATTTCATAAATAGGTAAATGGAAGTAAAAGTTCAAACTCATATAGCATCCCATGTCCATGCTTCTGGATCATTCCTAATTTGCTAAACATTTCGAAACTGTTATGATGCGAAACTACTAATAATGATCTTCCAAGTTCATCTAGCATCTGACATGGGTCGGTCTTCATAAAATGATTTCTCCAATTCTTCGCCTTCAAACATTTGAGATGAGTGTCAGAAAGTTCTTCATCTCCATGATTTAAATCATTATTTTCAAAACGCCAAAACTAGTCTCTAAATGTTGTTTCGAACAGAGCACAATCGCTCACTCATCAAACATTCTTTTTTTTTTAGATTAATTGAGAATAAACTTAGCACAAAACTAGACATTTTTAGAACTACGGAAAAAAAAAAAAAAAAATGATTACACTCTGGTGAACTAACATACACTGAAATCCAAGCTTATTAACAGTAGTTCTTGGAAAATTGAGTTTCCATCTGTTAGGAAACAGCAGAAACTTATTCAAAGTCCTAATAATTCAATACATTTTTTTAAAGATGAAACATTTACCTGGGGAAATTTCCTGCCATCAAAGCAACAGATTACAGAATTGATAACGCCCAGTCTGTGGAAGTTACCAACTATAGCTTTAGCTCGATCTTTATTGGAATCATTTGCGAATAATACACCAGTATTTTTCATAATAGCAGCTGAAATTTAAAATAACAAAATTAAATTTGATGAATTTGGATATTATGGAAATTTATTTTTTTAAAATTAATGTCAAGTACCTATATGTGATGCTTTTCCTCCAGGGGCAGCGCAGAGATCGAGAATCTTTTCATTTTCTTGAGGCGCAAGAGCCATGACAGGAAGTAAACTTGAAGCACCCTATAAAAGAAATAAATTTAATAATTTTTTTTTACTATTACATGATAATTCATGTAAAAGCAACAAAAAAAAAAAAAAAAAATCAATTATAATTTTCACAAAGGCTCCTCGTTACAATACACAGACTTTAATTGATGAGATTATCAGAATTATTTTTTCCAGTGGACTTGACGTGACTTGGAAAGTTGATTGCCTAAATACAGAAGGCTCAACTTTATTGGATATTTTAAAATTTAGTGTAATAATAAAGGAGACACTATAAGATTGCACATGCCTAAACCATTTATTGAACAGGGTATAGGAAGGATTAATAAGGTCTTAGTATTATTTTTTTAATAATTCTTTATCTAATTAACATTTCAGACTTTTGAACCCCATTTCCAAAAGGTGTTAACTTCTTTATCGAGAATCTTTTAATTTTCTTGTGGCGCAAAAGCCATGAGAGGAAGTAAACTTGAAGCACCCATCAAAAGAAATCAATTTAATGCTGACCATTTAATAATTTTTTTTTTTTTTGCTACTATTACATTAATTATCATGTAATAGTAAAAAAATAAAAATAAACGTAATAATAAAAGTTTTGGCCTTTTATTTCCTGCTTTCAAAAGCATAAAAGTTATTGTTTAATAATTTTCTTATCATATTATTATTGTGAACGTTAAATACATTATTACAGACTTTATCCTCATTATTTATCAAACTATAACTCGGTTAACCTTTTGACGATGGTGGACTCATATAAATGAGTCGCGAGAGAATTGGACCAGTAGACTCATATGAGTTAGAATCAGACACAGGCAACCAAGGATTCATATATGAGTTGATAGCCTGTTGGGCTCTTTCTCTTTAAACGACTGAGTGCTCAGTGATGAATTAAATTTTCAAACTATCTTGTGGCCTTTCTATCGATTGTATACAAGTCAGATAAAAAAGAAAACAAAATAAAAAAATTTGGAATGCCACTCTAAATAAAAAGACTGAAGTGCTGAGTAGAAGTGACGAAAAGTATTCCGTCACACAAGCATGGAGAAATGTCAGATAATAACTGTCCTCAAGGCCTCCCCTGGAGAGCCAGGTACAACTGGGATCGAACTGCACTAAACGGAGAGGCTACTGGAGGAAAGAGTGCTATATGGACAACCTGGAGGAGGAAGGAGAGGTAAGCTATCACTCCAGTGGATAGGTGACAGAGGCGTATCTTGGTGTCAGGCAGTGGAGAGCTGTCACAGCAGACCAAGCAGAATGGTGAAGAATAGATGAGGTTGCCCAAGTCCCACAAGGATCATAGCGCGGAAGAAGAGGATTACATTTTACAATGATAAAGACTAGTGGCCTTCAATTAGGATAAAACAAAGTAAATATATATTTTTTTCTAAGACTAATAGAAATAATCATTGGAATTTAGTAAAGCAGAAATATAATAATATAACACTCACCTGGATGATATAGTGACCAGCAAGGTACTCCGGTGTAGCACCAATAGGGACAGGAGAGTTATAAATCACAAGTCCTACTTTAGACCATTTTCCGATTGGATCAACGTTGACCCCACGACTTATAAGAGCCTAAAAAAAAAAGTAATACATAATAACCAACTTTATAAGATGATAAATTGTTTACTATTTTATTTATAAAAATATATACCTGAGCGAGATCCCTTCTTCTGCATTTGAGACTGTTTGTTCGAATTGTGAGGGGACGTTGAGCTTCGCTGGCTTCCAAAAAATCCATCAAGTCAGTCAAAGGGAATAACTCGATTAATTTGTCTATCATGAACTCATTATAACTGAAATAGCCCATTAAATCTTTCTTCAATAGAGCTATGTAATCCTTTCTGGACCTTAAAAGAAAAAAAAAAAAAAATTGCTATTTCCAATCAATACGACAACAAAATCTGACGTCATAACATTTTAAAAATAATAAAACTCAACTAACTTTCCTTCTTCTTTGAAATTTTTAAAATTAGATAAAACCATAAGCACATCTTTGATTCTCTGTTCCATTTCGGGAATATTAATGGTCTTGGCGATGTCATCATCATCAGGAAATGAAAATATTTCTTTGTTTGCAATATTTAGCTTCAGCTCCTCTTCTGCTTCTTTCCTGAAAAAAAATTATTTTACAAAAATGAAATTTCATTAATTAATTATAACTTAAAAAAAAAAAAATCATCAAGTAGGACCAGTAAAGCTTTCTCACTCCAATGGTTACGTAATTATGGTATGTCATTTGGTAATAAAATTTAAAGACATTTTTAAAAGTCTTGTCTAGCAAAATGCTCAAGCAAAGGAAGTCGAATTGACAGCAGTAGGAATTATGCCTATAACACGGATTTGATGACAGACTTCAGTTTAAAATTGGCATAAAACTATAAGATAAATACAATATTTTTTTCTGTATGTACACTGCCTACTACATATCACCATTATTTTCTTAACAATCAGATACATCAAATTTAATTGTTAAATGAAATTGATATTCTGGAGTATTTTCACCCTATCACCTTAATTTTTTCCAACTTTGGGCCAAAATGAAATATAAGCGTATCAAAGAAAATACATTAACACATCTGCTAGTAAAAGTATTTTTTGAAAGTAGTGGACAACTTAAACACAATTAAATAACAATAGTCCACTGGGCACTGACTTCCAAAGCTTAAGGTCCCGGGTTCAAACGCAGGTGATGGTAAGTAGTAATTCTGTTTCATCAGCTGCGGATCAACTCTGAGGTCGGGAGACACCACTGGGGCACACTCAGCCTCTATAAGATTGGTACTTTTATCTTAAATAATTAGTTAAAAGAAAAAACTTGGCAGTTGAGCATGATCTCAGTCAAATCACCCTTTTCCACAATCAAGAAACAGTACTTCATTACTTACATAATAGTCTGGCTTCTGCTGAGAATGAACCATAGTAGTGGATTATTTTTTCATTAATCTTTAACTTTTTTCCGGTTTTGGAAATAAATGGACCGGTTTTAAAGTATAGGAATGTCTAAGAAAATTCAGTAACACTAGTGTAAGGGAAAATAGTTGATGAAATTGATATGAGATTATTCAAGTACGAATGTGAACAATCTCAGAAAATTTCATAAAAATTGGATTAACGGTAGTAGATGACAGCCTGTCACTTAAATTAATGGAATCATATTCATAACCTTGATGTCTTAAACATAAAACACAAGTGGAAATTTTCGATTTCGAGCAGAAACGTTTTTTAACTTTCAGCACAAATATAAGATTTCTCTGCCTTTGGTAATGAGAAAACAGTACAAGGCAATATTATTTAAACATAATCAGGTAGAAAGAAAATACATACTCTTCACGTTTTGTCTTTTTAATAAGTTTTTTAGCTTCTTTCTCAATGGGTAACTCTTCATCATCAGAGCCTACATCATCCAGCGTTCCAACCTGAAAATCATTTAATATTAATTAAAATAAATATAAAGAAACAATGCATGTGATATATCGAGGCTCATCTACTATCATAAAAAACCTTTACATAATATCATAAAGGCCGCCATCTTCAAATGAACTCCGTTGAAATGGCAGATGTTAATACTATATTTTAAGATTCTTTCTAGGGTGACATAATCCGGAAAAAAAGGCATGGTACATTTCTGTATTGGAATTTTGTTTTGTACTAATCACAAAACATAAAGACTCAAATTTAGAGAAAGAAATATTCTTTTTTATTCATGGTCAATCAAAAAAGTTCATTATTGAAAATAATAAATCAAAATCAATGCATCATTAATAAAAGCTGTAAGAATTAAAACTTTTTAATAAAAAAAAAAAAAATTACCAACCGGCTATGATTAAGGTAACAACGAATCTGCTTCTATTTGAAATAGAAGAAACATTTAAAGTGAAAAATCATAATAACATTCTCCAATTTTGAAGAATTTCCAATAAAATTACAATTTTTCCTACAGTTACCCAGGTGAATATTATCAGCTTCTCATAAAACTTACTATTTAAACTTCCGAATGAATGAAAATAACTATAAATATTACATCCATATTTAATAAAGAAAGTAAAGAAGCAATTAATTAAATTGAAAACAGTAATTGAATTAAGTAACTTAGTGCAGAAAAGAGAGCTGCAGTTAGGCCTTGCAATTGGCTGGCCACACTATGTTTCCTGAACTGCCTCTTTTATTTGAAATAATTTCTTTCACTTGAAATATTTATATCACTGTTTATCTGAATGTTTTTTTAATTTTTATAATAAGGTATCAGTCCATTTTGCATATTTTTAAGTGAAACAATTACATCAACGTACTGAATATTTTATAGACTTGTTGCCAAGTATTAATAGAAACATAGAATTATTAGACTAAATACTGATTATTTCTAATGAGAAGCTATTTTTAATTAATTATTTCCATATTAACAGAATAATTTAAGCTATGGATATTTTAAACAGGATTCCCGATCATCAAAGAATTCAAGTAAGCTGAATACCTCATAATACTTGTGAGTCTAACAAATCATATAATAAAGTTTTCAATACTTATTTACATCAATTAGTCTTCCAATGTTTAAGTGATTTTTTGAGCATTAGTTTTAAATGCTTTAATTAATAAATTAAAAAGACCATTTATTTACCTTACAATCATCTTCTTCCATTTCTTCATCAGATTCATCAGTCTCTTTGTCTTCATCAGAGGAAGAACCATCACCATCTAATTCAAGTTCATCATCATCCTCACCCTCACCACTGTCTTCCATTTCTTCTTCTTCCTCACCACTATTCTCCATTTCTTCGTCTTCCTCACCACTGCCCTCCATATCCTCTTCGTCGTCACTATCCTCCATTTCTTCTTCATCTGCCCTTTTAATATCTCCATTTAGGGATGGTATATTTTTCTTTTGTTTTTTGGTGATTTTAAAATTTGATACATCACTTTTCTTTTTGTCTGGTGAATTTATTTCCTCTTCGATTTCAGAATCACTTTCCTCATTTTTAATTTTTTTGTTTCGAACTTTTGCTAGAAAATATATAAAATGTTTAAAAAAACAAAAACATTATAATGCCCAACTAAAACTATTTCAAAACTTTAACCTAAGTAAATTTTAAATAATATAACTTAAAAGCTGCAAAGAAGTTTAAAAAAATAATTGTGCAATTTATTTAAAGCTGAAAATATTGGCAGATGTGAATCATCACTTACATTACTGATAATCATACCATTATTTTGATTTAATAAGTAAACAAGTGCTTACATGAAAGGTGCTAATGCTATATGAGCAGAAAATATAAATATAAACAATACCTGAGCCAACATCAATCCAATATTATCTTAAATCATACCATCAAGCCAATATTATCTTAAATCATGACTCAAAATTAAATTTTATTTAAGGGAAAATCAATAATAGAAAAAGAGACCGGAATTTTAAATACTTGATTTCTTCCCATTTTGTTGCAAGAGTAAAGATAAATTTTTCTTGACATTATGTAGCTATAACTACGATGGTATTAATCAGATACACGAATTTAACAACACAAATAAACAAGAAGAGGCAGAGTACAACTACTTCTTACAAAATACATATATATTTCATTACTGTATTGTATAATAAACTTTTTCACAAATATAAGGTATCACAAATTATTATACTAGTCCTAACAATACAATGCAACTGATCAAAATTATTCAAGATAATCAAGGTACACAAGTAATCACAGTAATCTAATGAACTTATAACAAAGAAAAAATGACTAGGAATTACAAAACTTAAGAATTAAAACATTTTTGATATGTTACTTTTTCCTTAAACAAAGGTCTAAAATTAAATACCATCTAGCTGGGAAGTATCGTTCTTTTCTTTCTTTTGTTTCAAAATAGATTTTAATTCTTTTTTCTCTTTAATGGAATCTATCTTCTGTTGCTGCTTGATAACCCTCTTGGCGGCTCTTTGCTTTTGTCTGTGGGTCAGAGGCTTTGATACCTTATTTTCTTCTAAAATAAAATACATAAAAGTGAGTGTGAAAATAATGATTAAGTTATAACTTAACAAATTTAAGTGCTGTTTGTTACCTTTTAAAAAGGGAAAAGAAGGATCTTTCTGCTTTTTAGCTTTCCTTCCCGGGCCACGCTTTTGGTTCTTCAACTCGTTAAATTTGGCTTTTCTTCCCATTTTTGTTGATTCAATATACTCTACAAAAACACTCTTAAACACGTGGGACTGTAACAACCTTTGGCAGGAGGTTACAATAGACAACTGAAACGCCAACGCAACCTGTTGCCAACTTTATTAACTAGGTGCATCACTCCATTTTGACTTTTAATCTGAAAATTTATTTTTGTTTCATACCTTTTATTAACTTGCTCTATTTAATTAGAATACTAAAATATTTTAATAATTAATTTATTATTGATCGATTTATGATTAAGTTAATTGTATAAATAATAATAAAACTTGTTTAAAAATGTAATAATTGTTCTTTAATTAAACAAATGATCCAAATCTCTAAATATAATTTGTATCCAAATCTTAAACAACCTCTAATTTTGGAATATCCAGAAGAATTCATTCCAAGCATCCATTACAAATTCTCGAAGGTCCTTAAAAAAATAAACTTAATATTGGTTACTAATGTAAAGATGAATTTTCATTGAGAAAAAGAAACTCACTGGAACAATAGAAAACTAAATCGACCGAGGGGCTCAGGTAGTGGAAAAAGAAATCCTTTCCCAAAATAAAATACTAGATTTTTTTTATAACTATAATTATTCTAGGCGAAAAGTAAAGAAATTAAAATTTAAAAATCAGTAGCGCATGGAGGATTTAATTTTAGAGGGGTTTCAGCCCAAAATATATTTTTTTTACTGATATAATGATAGTTACTTTGGAAGAAATAGAAAGAAACAAACTACCTATAAGAAATGGTGTTTAATTGATTTTTGAAGTCCTGTTACATGATCAACAATACTTTTAAAGATCATTTTTTTGATAAGACATGGTTATATTATTATACCATTTTGGGGGGAGGGGAGAGGAGGGGGAGGTAAGGGAAACCAATAAAAGCCCAAAACCAATAAAAGTTCAAATCATCCAGTTAAGGACTTTCCCAGGTAACTTAGTTTCATAAGAAAATCAGATTTCGAAACAGAAAAAAAACAATTTTTTTGTTGCAAGTAGAGGCCCCTTTAGTAGATTCAACAATACATACATTGTTTATAAAACTATGCTATTCCACGAACCGAACATACCTTATAATAATTGTTGTTTCTATTCCAATACATAATTAAAAACAGATAGTTAATAAATTAGAAATCGTGAATCATATGAGAAAATTAAATATTTTATGTTTCATCAATGGCATCATTTAGTAATGAAATAAGAAAAAAGTTAAATCACATCTTTCAAGCTTCTTTTTATAGAAATTATTTTACCTCTTGGAAATTTATTACTAAAACTGTTTATATAGAAAAAATCAACAATAATAAAAAAAAAATATTATTATTACAAAAATGGAAAATGTAGTTAGCTGATTTTGAAATAGATATTCGGCATTATTTTCTTCCCCAAATATATATTATGATTTACTGTTTTTTTTTTTGAAAATTGGGGTTTTATTAAAGTTTGTAGTCGCAATTCGAAGAATTTGAACCACTGAAAAATAGTTTTGATCCCAACTTAATCACAATGATTTGTAATTTTAAAAATTTTTACAATTGGTGTAATGAATAAAATTTTCTATTGTAGAAAGAAAAATAATGAAATTTTTATAATTATAAAACACATGTTCAACTACCCGTTTATTCCAGGTTGAATACCAGAAACTCCGTCTTGCCTAAAGGAGCAAAGTGGGTTGCTATCTTCTTATAAGGATAAACAAAGTTGATATTTGCATTTCGTACCTCGAAAAACGATTTTTCGCATATATCGGAAAATAAAAATTTTTTGTTCAAAATTTTCACATTTTTTTCTTTATCGAGCTTTCAATTTTTTTTTCGAAACTACAAAAATTGTAATAACTTCAACCTCTTATTGATATTATCAGAGATTTGGGACCCTGTAAACTATATGAAATGGCTCAAACCAGACCCTGTAAACAAATTCGAATTGGAGATATAAAATAAAAACTTTATGAAATTTTTCTTTATTTATTCCTTATAAATGTGTAAAATATAATATTTATTGATATGGTTTGGAAGAGAATGGAGATTTTGTCTACCCATAATAATTTGGAAAACAAAATAGTTATGATGGTTAAAAAAAAATTACAGATTACAAATCTTTTTTTTATCTATAGAATAGAAAACCAACTTTACTCTGGGACAAAGTATATCAATGATGAACAATTTAAAAAAATATATATATCTGGCCAAAAAACTAACAAATACAGTCAAGTTTACGTTTCGTATGTGCAATTTAATTATAAAAAATATATATTTCCCTATAAAAATATTTTTAAATTGTAAATTAAAAAAAAAAATTGTTGATCGAATAAACAGTTTTATTTTCATGATTGATAAATTATAAAGTATAATTTTAGTTTTCTATTTTTTTTTTTTTTTTTTTTTTTATCGTTTTTTCTTCCAATTTTTCTAAAACGGACACCCCTCTATAGCAGAATTTTTTTTATTTCCTGTAAGTGTCCACTTCTGAGAGGTTTAACTAATGTATCTAAAATGGTCAAGTATTAGTAACTTTGTCTTAATTTTTAATATTTTTTTTTTATTTTTCTATCTTGCTCTGGTTCTGGCCGCGGGCGGATCTACGGGGGGGGGGAGGCTTTCGGGCTGAAGCCCCCCCCCAAAATCGAAAAATATAACCATGTTTTATGGGAAATTTTTTTTTAAAAATACCTCTTAAAGTATTATTGTTCGTGTAATTACATTTAAAAGTACTTAAGGAATAACTTAAACACCATTTCATATAGGTAGTTAGTTTCTTTCTTTTTTTCCAAAGTAATTATCGTTATTTTTATGAAAAAAAAGGTTTCGGGCTGAAGCCCCCCAAAATTAAATCCTGGATCCGCTAGTGGTTCTGGCAAATGATTAATTTGTTGTTATTATTTGGAAAGCTATACTCAAATATACTATGCAACAAGAAAACCAACGCTGTTTAGATTTAAGGCACAGTTAAACTGTTAAGGCAACATACTATATTTGAAAATAGTTTCACTTTGGCTTTACTGCAATACTCTTGGTCCTGCAGTCTTGCAAGATCTGATCTTGCTCTTGGTCTTGCATCAAATAAGATGGTCTTGGTCTTCGTATTGATCTTGCAAAAGTGCAAGACCAAGACCAAGACTGCTAGACCAAAACCGATTTTGGGCAACACTAGGAATCACCGATTTTAACGAAACTTTTTTTTGTAATGTTTGTAAGGCATCACTAGTGATTCCACGTTCGTAACCTCCCTTTGTAAGTCAAATATGCGTTTTTTCAGCACAGGAAAAAAAAAAAAATTACAAAAAAAATACACAATCTTAAAAGAGCCAATAATTGTATTTATGTTTATTTAAACAATATAAATTGCAAATTTATTTATTTTTATTATCTTCATGCAAAGTTCGTAATAAGCCAGATAGTGAAAAGCAGATAGAAAATTGTTCATAACTCTTTAGAAATCTTGAGCGCTCATAGCTCGAATGTTGGAAGATGGATAAATGTTTCATCTATATTCTCAATTATTAACAATGATGAAAACATGAGCTGGTATAATAATTAGACGAGAATAAGAAAATTATAATCATGGGAAAAAGAAGTGGTCTTCTTGTATAATTATGTAAATAGATCTCATATCCAGGCCCTTTTCAGTTCTCTTCTGGTCTTCGCGATGTGAGCTGTGACTTTAATAATTTATCAGTGATCTTTCAACTTATCGTCTGTATGTTGAACGTATTAATCAGAGTATACGGTGTTGTTACGAAGCATGGGTGTTTCCGTAATTAGCCGTAGTGTTTTCAATTGAAACGTTTGAAGTAATTTTATATATGTCAGATTATAGTCAGATTATATTTTTTAATCTTTGCAATGAATAAGTCCTAAGAGATTTCGATAGGTATGTATCAATAATTAATTTATAATATTCTATTAACTAAATATTTCAGTAAATTACAAGGTGAATTTTGGATTTGATTATGCAATTTCGGTCGATTTTTATTCGAAAATAATAGTAATACCTTTACTACACTGCATGGAAAGTCATTGTATGGTATCATTTCCAGTCAATTATTTTTCAGATTCCCTAAAACACGGAATTAACCGATCTGAAAAGCAGTATTTAATTTTAAAGATGGATATATAATTGGTTGCTCAAATTGCATGGATGCAAAATAATCACGTTGCAAAAAATTTTACGCAATCAGAAATCAAGGTTATTAAGTTTGCCGACATTAATATTGTTTCTGTACGTTATCTTTGCGTACTTCTTGTTTATTGAATTATTTATATTATTACAAATTATTTAGTTTTTATTCCTACTTTTTACATCCTTATCTATTTTATTTATAACTGAAAAACATTTTCTTTGCGTATTAGTAAGTTATTATTATTGTTATTGTAGCATATTCTAAATCTGATATTTTGGTTGTATTCTAAATCTGATATTTTGGGTGTTTAGGGAGGGGGGGAATTAAAGTTTTGTATTGCAACATTTTTTTCCTCTGTTAAATCTTCCGTGTTTACGATGTTTACGTTTCTTTTTCGAGGCATGTATATTCTTTTCTATATGTCCGCAGCGCCACTATTATATTTTTAAAATATAATTCAAAATAAATGTTTTAACTTATTTATTAAATCATCCAAAAACTTGTTTACATCGTAACTAATAAAAACATATGTTATTTTTAAAACAATATGGTTTAGACAATTAAATTGCAATAGAAAATATGAACTAATTTACACTCCCCTAAAACACAAAATATCAGATTTAGAATATACTACGGTTATGTTTATATTACCGTTATCTCATGTGTGCGTTCCATATTTTCTTCTTCTCTTATTTACATAAATTAATATATTTATACATACATATATATGATAAAATAATTTTTTTGATGTGTTCTTGTATTTTTTAATTTTTAGCCCTGATGATGACCCTCATGTTTGGGTTGAAACGTCGGCAAACCTAATAAACTTGATTTACTGACAGCATATCCTGATTATTATTTATTCTTGGTATTTAATTTTGTTTTCAAGGTAGAACAAGTCCTGGTGTGTTTCGTTTGTCATGGTCATCGCCTTTTAGGC